TAGCAAATATTGTATCATGCTGATGATCCTAAGAGATTTTAATCTGGTTGGGGAGTCACTGTGCCAAGACTATAAAAAGCAAGAAATTGAATTGTATCAATTCAAAGCATTTTAAGTAGCAATAAAAAAGGATTGAATGATTGAGTTGACATTGATATTGACATCGCAGTACCAGAACTGTACAAGTCTTCATTGAGTTCACTGTGTTGGAAACAATCTTTCCTATCATGGCACGCAGCCACCTGCTGTACCAGTCAAAAATATCTACAAATCCAGAGGCAACACGCTGCAGTTCCACTAAGTGAGCCTAAAAAGAAAGGAGAAGCAAAGGGGAAGGGAATGGGGGTAGAAAAGGTGGAGAAACAGCTTTCTATACGTGACACGTGTTCCAAGATTTCTGGAGTGCCCAGGTAAGATGAATCCAAACAAGAATGAAAGTTTAGTGCATCTTCTAAGGAATTTAATTCAGATTATTTCCTCACCAAAGCAGAGACACAGGTAAGGAACCTGTACCTGCTTTATTTGACCCCTCAAAAGGATGAGTTCTCTACACTTCTTTGGAGGTGTAGTTTCTTTACAGTGGAAAATAGCTATTAATAAGGTATTTTGAGATGAAAAACAACAAATAAGGGATTTAATGGTGAATTCTGGCTATTACATAATGAGTAAATAATCATGACTGACTTTTCTGTTCTCCTGTCACATATATTTTCTGTTGCTGTATTTTGAAATTTCCTGAAGACAGTTTATAGAACTAATTTTATTAAAACTATTTTAAACATCTAACATGTTGTACAAGTACACAGTTAAATACTAAAAAAAAAAATCTTATATTTCAAATTATATAGAAGTAAAAATAAAGTGAGCTAAAAAAATAAGCTGGAATTCCAATTGCACAATAACGATCTTTTCCCCAAAAGCTAAACATTTGCACGAAGCCAAAGTTTGCATAATAACATCATACAAGAATTGAAATCAAGGAGGTTATGAAAGACACACAACAAAGTTAAAAAGGTATGTCTTTCCATATGTAAAATCAAATTATTTTT